CTGGCTGCTTTGGCACACCCTAGCCCCTACATCATCCTTCCCTTCCCCCACAGACCTCAAAGCTTCTTTGATTTAATGGACAATTCCAACAGGGAAGTTGAGTGGCTGTCCAGGTGACGATGGATGGAATTTGTGTGTGAATGTACTTTAAGCTGCATTGACTAGTTTTAAAATATGACTATATTCAAGTAGTCATTCAGAAGATATTTGTGAGGTACCTACTATGTGTCAAGCTAAGTGCCAGCTGTGTGCATCACCTGAGGCTGATGGCCAGGAGCTGTGACTCCACAGGAGGGAGCGGGAGGTGGTGTGCAGAATGCAAGTGCGCCAAGTAGCGTGTTCAAATCCTATCCTCCCAGCTTTCCGAACTTGCTAAGATTGTGAACCTCTAAGCCTCCTGCAAACTAAACTTAATTTTTGTTTTCCTAGGCTGGTGTGGAGAAAATAATGTAGAAAGCGCTGGGTGCAGTAGTTGGTACAAAGTAAGGCCTCAGGGGGTTGCTCCATGCCCCTGGCCTCGGCCTCTCCTTTCGCATGCTCACTATTGACACACAGCCCCTGCCCTTCCTGTCAGGGGAAGGTACAGTGCCTGGCAATTGGTGCGACAGAAGGAACAGATGGCGCGTGTAGCAAGACACGTGAGAGTGTGCAGGGCTTGGAGTGAAAAGTGTGATATGGACTATTGATTGAACATAATATCGGCTCTATTTCTGTTAGCAAGAAGCTTATTTTGCAAGTTTCGATTAGTATTTTATGAAGGTTTTTGGCTTCTAAGATCAGCTTATAAAAGGATCCACAAGACTTTATCCTGAGCAGGATAGTCTCAGAGTAACATTTCATTTTACGTCCACACCGTCACTGCAACAGAGGGATCATGTTCACACCCCCGAGACCCACATTTCTGACTGCTTGTTGTACTTTTTCCCCTTGCTCTCATTTCTCAAGCTTCATTTTACAGCCAGTAGAGACTGTCACTAATGATCCTTGAGACAAATATACAAATAAGGAGGGATGCAGGGAAAAGTACAACAGAACACGAATAGATCTGGAAGAAACAGCCCACTAAGACCTGCTCTGTGATGATGCGGATCGGATCTACCAGGATCTTCCTGCTCATGCCAGTGTCTAAGGGGGCCTGGCCAAACTCTTTTCCTGAGTAGTTTAGAATGTTCTACAGGTTAAAAAATTTAATGTTTTCAACCAGCTTCATTTTCTTCTTCATGAGTTGCAGCATTTCTCAAGCCCACGGTGTCTGCAGGTAGGACCGTCCTGGCTCACCCGCACTTTCCACCAGAGGGCCCTGTGGGTCTCCAGGACATCACTTGTGATAACAGGCTTTACAAAACCAACATGTCAGTCTGTTGCAAGACCCTGTTCTGTTGAAAAAATCCTTCAATTTTAATAGAACTGTTGCTCACAAGCTAGTTCATCTGCAAAGTTATGAAAAGCAAAAGAAGATCATGCACATTTGACCAAAGGAGAATCTGAGAACTGAGCTAGGAGAGGAGAGTGTAGTTCCTGCCTTCATTAAGTTGGAAGACGTGGGTCTGAGAGACAAGGGCAGGGAGGACCTGGACCCAAAGGCTGCCATGGGTTTCCAGGGAGCCAACCATCCTGAAGATGCTCTTCTGAGAGCTCTTGCTTCTGATCTTTGCTGCTGTTTTGTTTACAGGGCATTAGGACACTAGGAATTGGACAGAGGCAGCTCAGCAGGGGCAGAAGGGGGTGCTGCAGAACAAGGGTGTTCAGTTCACCTAGAAGCTGAGGAAGGATTATATTTCAGCCTGTTCTGTGTCACCTTGAAACTCCTCTCTCCTACATTGTAGAAATAAAGATATGAAACAAAAGCCTGATGTCCCGAGGGAGCAGGGAGCAATAGACAGAGCCCAGGGAGAGCTGCTGTCTGTCACTTGTAAATCCCGGCAAGCTGGGAGTCAAGGCTGCGGGGAACAGCTTCTCCTGCAGGCGCCCTGCCCTTTGATCCCTTGCTTGGGATGTTACAGCTAGCATTTGTGTGGACCTAGAGTTAGGCACATGGTGGAAGTCAATAGAGATAGTAGTTTATATTCACTTAGGTAATTAAGCACATTCCTTAGTCTGCCTTCACCCCTCAATAAATGTGAGATGCTTCTGAGGCTCTGGGCTCCCTTGGAGAGAGACTAATCTCAGTGAGACCTCTGAAGCTACATTCATCAGGTCTTCCCTTGTTTCTTTCGGCACCGACCCGTAACACACAACACTTCATGACTGGTCTATACTCTTCTTGCACATCCCATCCCAGAACAGGGCTTCTTTACACTGGCTCAGGGCTTTACCCGAGCCCTCCAGAGGTCTGTCTAATTCTGCAAAACACTTTTCCACTAAGGCCACATCTGGTGCCTATGGCTTTGTACCTAATGTTTGCTGTTCCTTGGTTCTACTAGGCTTATTGGCATCTCCCTAGTTCTGCTTCTAACATGTCCATTCTATGTGATATAGATGATAATTTTCTTTTTTTTTTATTTTAAAGAGTAAAAGATCAAAATTTAAAAATAAGATAGAGGGCCTGCCAAATAGCTCAGCGGATTAAAGAACCTGCTCAGGCAGACCCAGGGGCTGGGGGTTCGATCCTTGGGCCTGCTGTGCCGGCCCTGCCTCCAGGACACGCTGAGATGGCAATTGCGACTGGATGTGGTGGTGTGCACCTGTAATCCCAGCACTTGGAAGGCTGTAAACAGGAGAATCACTATGACTCTGGTCTATGTAGTGAGGCCCTGGACACCCTGTAGACCCTGTCCTAAATACAGAAAAAATAAAACAAAATAAAAGTAAGATAGTAGGAGGGTAAGAATGGCTAATGCATCGCATATTGTTATCTTCAAATTAGTTACTTAGAGTATGAGCTATCAGCAATTAATAGTCCAAATAGTATTAATGCAAATCTTTCTTTTCAATGAACCAAGAGAAATTAGTAGAATAACTATCTTAACTATCACACAAACACACACGTACAACATTTTTTTTTTATTTTCTCTTCCTTCTTTTCTCCTCTCCCCCATCCCAGTTTCTCTTTCATTCTAAAGTTTCTTCCCATTTCACCATATCTATTGTACATTTTGGCTTTTATTTACTCTTTCAGCTTCTCACACTAGGAAGACAATACAATATTTGCACATATATGTCTGGGTTACTTTACTTAAGATTATAGTCTTGAGTTTCATCCATTTACCTATAAAAGTCTCCAGTTTATCCTTCTTTATGGCTGAGTAGTATTCCATCATATAAAAATATCACATCTTTTTATCAGCTCCTCAGTTGATGGGCATCTGGGTTCTTTCCCAACATTTAGCTACTACAAGTTGCGCTGCTATAAACATGAGTGCACATATGTTGCTCTGGTATGATGTTTTCAGTTCTTCTGGAAAAATACCTAGGAGGGGAATAGCTGGGTTGAATGGGATTTCTAATCCTAGTTTTTTGAGGACTCTCCACACTGATTACCATAGTGGTTGTACCAGTCTGCACTCCTACCAACAGTACAGAAGGGTTCCTTTTGTCCCCCAACATCCTCTACAGCATTTGTTATTGGTTGACTTCTTGATAATAGCCATTCTTTCTGGGGTGAGATGGCATCTCAGTGTTGTTTCAGTTTGTATCTTTTGAATGTGGATGGTAATGTTCAATTCTGTTCATCCGCAGGTATTGCCCACACAGTATGCTGTACGTGGGGCGGTGGTGGATACAGAGGGAAACGAAGAATGGATAAAAGCTATGGCTCTTGTCCTTAGGAAGTGGCTGGTGATGGTTTCTGCTGTATAAGTCAGAGTAGAATGACTGGGAGTGATAGAAGATACAAAGGGGAAGAAAAATGCAAAAAGAGCTGCCGTCAATTGAAGTGTTGACACCCAGGAAAACTTCACAGAGGAAGATCTGGTTGAGGCAGACCATGAGAAACAAGAAGTGGACAGGATGGGGCACACACTCCAGCAGAAACACTCAGCGACACACAGGCTGGGGACTCTGGACCTTTGAGTGGATTGGGGAGGTGACCCCACACCCCACAGACCCAGGCTTCTGCTTTCCATGCATCCCTCACTTTGAGGCCCTCTGTCTTTCTCGTTCTTCTTCCTGATGCTTTCCATCCTTTAAGGACCAGCTTCAGCTCTGGAGGTCTTTCCTCATCTGCTCTAGTTTTTGTCACCTTGCAGGTGCAGTGCAGGACTTAAGCACAGTGCTTGCGTTGGAATTTCTGGGCAGCTGGATCTGGAAAGGCCTAGTATTCAACTTGTACCCTGGAGCAGTGCTAGAGAACCCTTCAGAGCTTTCAAAGATACAAACAGCCCTGTGCAGCTAGCCTGGACAGGTTTGCTCCCGCTGCCCTGAGGCCTTGCAGCCTGAATAATGGTAATTAATGCTAGAAGAGTCTGTGGATCCATTTATGGGACTGACAACTTTATTCTACCAAATGCAAAACCTATTTAGTGTAGCTGGTTAGGTTTGCTGACATAGAAGGGAAACGTTTCCTCAGATGATCACAAGACTCTCTGGCTCTGTTTTGAGTGATTTTTGCCTCCTGACCATCCAGTTTTGCCATGTTCATGTGTGTGGGCGTGTGTGTATGTGAGGGAGGCCATCTGACCTCAGTTTGAACCTCATATGTCTGCTACAAGCATTGGGAACTGGTGGGACCTACCTTCATCTTTCCGATCATTTCTCAAGTTCCCTCTTGTGAATGACTCTGGTTACTCTAATGGTTCTTGCTTTCACAGTTGGGCTCCACCCAGTTCCCTGAAGTGCAAGAAATACAGTCACTCAATTCCTTTTGCTTGGAGTGATAAAGATCAGAAGCTTGGCCACAGAAAGTATTTTCTTTTCCTTTCTTTGCAGAACCGGAGACTGAACTCAGGCCCTTGCACTTGCCAGGCAAGCACTTATTCTACTGAGCCATCTCCCTGACCCTCCCCCTCTTTTTTAAATTTAATTATTTTTCAGAAAAGTGTTTTTTTATGGAACTGGGGATTGAACTCAGTCAGAAAGTGTCTTCTAATGTCCCATGTGGACAGCATCTCCATGTGGCCAAGAGCCACCACGCTGCCCACATCCCAGGAGGCATGGTCATCCCACGAGCTGGTTGAGTCAGCTGTGACCTGCATGAAGATTCCTGGCTGATGAAGTTGACGTGGGGTGACACACAGCTCACATGCTGCTCACATGATATGCATAGAAGTGAGGGGCTGCATGTCCCTCAAAGAACGGGTGCTGTTTCCTAATGTCCTCCAAGTTGTTGTTGCGATGGATGCTGGAAGCCACCCACTGGGGTCCTCGGATGTGCTGAGTGTAAGCAGAACATCCCAGCTGATGTGCCATGGCGTGTTGCACATGTGCAAAATATTGGTCCTTTCTTCCAACAGCAGCTGCACAGGGATGTCATCCCTAATCATGAAAATACTCTCGCCACATGGAGGCCCTGGACATGAGCAGCTTTGATTTGCAATCTCCCAGTAAGACCTCAGCAGAGAAGATCTAGGTGCTCTAAGTCCAGGATGCTTAAGGTTATCTGTGCTTGTAACTCAGGTGAACCCAGTGTGCCATAAAACTTTACTTTCTACATGTGCGGTGATGCGAAGAAGCCTGGGGAGCACTGTACAGGATGCTCAGGTTCCAGAAAGAAAGTGCTGTCCACGGCCTAGATCACCGCTTCGTAGCCCGAAGTCTTGGGAGGTTCGCTGTCGAGTGCGTTGGTTTTCTTCATCTGTGCACAAGAGAAATGTGACAGCGCATTAGCTGAAAGGTGTGGCTGAGCAAGTCCAGTCCCATAGGAACCCCAGACAATGTCTTAGACGTCCTTGGTCCTGGGGAAATGTGGGATAGCAGAGCTTTGCCTTTGTTGAGTCCTGTATCTCTCTCCAGCCACCCAATTTGGGAGCCCCTGGGGGATGTTACAGCCCCCTAAAGAGCAGTATGAATGGGGCTATATGGAGCTCATTTTGATTACAGGTTAGGGTAACCTCCAGGCTCATATTAGTTGCATTCTAGGTTTTTAGTTAAGCCCTAATTCTTTCTGTCCCCCAGTAATTCCACTCTCACCTATACATAGTGACAAATTGCGTCTGGTATTTAGTCACCAAAATGTATTATAAGACCTGGTCATTTAGAGCACTTCATACATCCTTCTCATTGATTTGAGGAGTCTTGAATTTTAAATGACATACTGATGGATAGGGTATATCAGAATAGTTTGAGCAGATAGGAAAACAAAGATGAAAAGCTGGGTGGGGTGGTACGTGCCTGTAATCCCAGGCTTGAGGCAGCAGGATCGATAACTTGAGCCTAGTTTGGACAATTTAGTGAGTTGTCTCAAAATTAAAAATAAAAACAAAAGAAGGGGGTGGTGATGGAGCTCAGCACAAAGGCTCTGCTTTAGTTCTCAGCAACACACACACACAGGCTCACGTGCCAGGAAAAACTTACCTCCTGAGAGGACTGCACTATGGAATAAATTGTTTGCACAGACTCTTTCTTGGCAGGGGACACCTGGAAAACATCCATTATATTCTCAGTGAGAGATCTGAGGCCTAATCTCATGAGCTTCCCTTCCTAATTCTGCCACCCATTACCCCACTCCAGTCTTATTTTTCGAGGTAGCCTCTTCTGTTGGCCTCAGCTCTGGTTCCATCTAATTTTGCAGAGGATCTGGAGCAGGTAGGGATGGGGGGGGGGTGATGCTTGGGCAATGCCTTGAGGCCAAAAAAACCCCATCAAGTTCCAAAAGTTAAGGTCTGTGAGGTTCAGACTGAGTCTTTGTAAGGATTTTAGCTTTCTGTGGCTCTCTAGACCCAGGATTCGTATCAGTCCACGCACAGAGTTTGACCAAGAAGCGTCCCCCTTGTCTTCTTGCTCACTGTGGGCAAGCAGGCTGGTGGAAGCACAGGAGACAGTGACCCAAGTGAAGGTAAGCCAAGCAGGGGAAGAAGATATGGGACAGAGTAAGTAGAGTTGCTTTTTTTTTTTTTTTTGCTCCGAATGCCTTCAGGGCAGGTTTGGCTGGCTTGCGTTGTGGGGATCGAACCACAGCAACCTGAGGCTGACAGCTTTGTTGAAGCAGCCACTTAAAGAACTGAGCTAAGGGGCAGGCCCCCAGTAGAATTGCTTTTTTTATAGGTCCAAATGCCTTTACTGGTGAATCATATTCAATATTTATGAGAGAAACAAAAACGAGTCTTAGACAATTTTTTGAAGTTAAAAGAAGGAATCCAACCCAACTTGATTTAAGAGACCAGCATGACTCTGATACCAAAATTTGACAGGAAAACAAAAGAAAATAAAATTAGACCAATATCACTCATTATCATAAATAAAAATATTTAAGGCAGTTCTAGCAAATAGCATCTACTGGTATATAAATAAATATAAATTATGGAGATATAATAAATATGGCATTTATTCTAGGAATGTAAGGTTAAATTAAGGTAAGAAAATCAATCAATGAAAATTACAATGTGAACAGACAGAGAAGGAAGAAAATTACACCATCCTTATAATAATTAAAATGACAAAAACTCTTAACTAGAAATAGAAAATCAAACTAGAAATAGAAAGAATCACTTTCAACCTACCCAAAGACACTTGATTAAAAAAAAAAACTCTAATGAATATTTTGTCCCTAGTATTACAAATAAGGCAAGGATATTGGTCTTCACTTTTTTTTTTTTTTTTTTTTTTTTTGCAGGATCGGGGATTGAACTCAGATCCTTGCGTTTGCCAGTCAAGCGCTTATCCTACTGAGCCATCTCCCAGGCCCCTGGTCTTCACTTTTTAAATTCAACATTGCATCAGAATTCCAAGCCTCTGATATAAAACAAGAAGTGAAAACATAAAGCATGGAAAGAAAAAAAGTAATTTCCATATTATATATATATATGGAAATATATATGATATATATATATATATATATATATATATATCCCATTTCTAACACATATGCTACAGTTAGTGACTTTAGAAAGGGCACAACCTATGAAGCACAAAAAATAGATCACAATCTTACAAGGAAACAATGGGGAAAGAATAGCTTAGTACTACTGTACTGTACATCACAATTTCAAATGTCTAGTAGTAGAAGAAAGCTTCTACAATGAAAACTCTAAAATAGAGAAACCAAAGCTGGTCTAAATAAATAGAGAGGGCCAGGGAGATAGCACAGTGGTATAAGTGCCTGTAAGGTCCCAAGTTTGATCCCTGGTACCAAAAAAAAAAAAAAAAAAATTCTTTAGGACCAGTGAGATAGTTTGGAGAGACCTAGCACCTGTGTAGGCAAGCACAGGGACCCAGGTTATATCCATAGTACCACATGCCACACTAGCCGCACCCACAGGCATACTGAGTTGGCCACCGAGTCCAGGCATGGTGGTACACACCTGTAATTCCAGCGCTGAAGAGGCTGAAAACAGGAGGATCACTACAAGTCTGACCTGCATAGTGAGACCCTGTACCAAATACATTAAATAAATAAATAAATAAATAAATAGAGACAAGTACCTGATATTACTACAAACAGTGGAGTTAGGTAGGATTGTATAGCAGTCATACAGGGCTGAGCCCTTGAGGGAGTCAGGGGTGGAGGCCCAACTGTTGTAGCCAGGCCTCAAGATAAAGACAGAATGACCAAGCCAGAGATAAGTAGCAGCACGTGGGCTAATGCAGTTGTGACAGTCATCAGAATCATGTTGAGTTGAGGAAAGGATGCTGCTCCTGTGATCACACCAGGCGGTATAGCCCACGGAGCCCCTCTGCTGGGGTTGTGACCTATAGACCAGGTCAGTGGCTCCATGACAGCCTTTGCCTCACACTCTGGGCTCTCTTGTTGTTTGGTGCCTTTAAGAGGGTGCTCCTTAGTCATGTGCAAGCTTGAATCCAGCTTGGGTAACCTAGTGAGAGCCTGTAGCACCGAACTACATACCCAGTCCTTTTTCCTTTTTTATTTTTGAGACAGGATCTCATCTACCCTGGAGCCTGGCCTCCGTGTAGAAGTTCAGGACTTCAAACCATCCACATTCCTATCCCCTTAGAGACTCATGGCATCATTTCCCTGATAGGGTATTTCCAGGTTAGACCCCCTCCCTCAGACTTTTTTTTTTTTTTTTTTCAGTATCAGGGATCGAACTCATGACCTTGTGCCTGCCAGGCAGATGCTTATGCTGCTGAGTGATCTCCCTAGCCCCCTTCCCCCAGACTCTTGCTGTGGCTGCTTTGTAGGTACCAGACAGCAGAAGGCAATGGTTGCCATGGCTTCCAACCTGATGACAGGGTGGGTGTACATGACGTGGCATCCACTCACCTTGGGCTGGGAGATTTCATCATAGATCTTGGACTCTTCGGGCTGGGTATCTCTCGAAACCTTGACAGATGTGTATATTGTGCTCTCTGAGGAAACATCTGGCACTGATAAACATAGAATGACAGTCTGTGAAAAGTGGGTAGGTACTTAGAGAAGATTTAATCCTATATTCTCTGCTTATAATGAAGAAATGAAGTCCTGAGAGGCTATATGGCTCCCATCCTATTGAGATGAATGCTTACATCCTTGCACGATCATTCCTTTTTTTTTTCTAGATTGCTTGTGGTATAGGAGGTACTGGCTCAGGCCTCACACAGTGGGAATTCTTCTGTACTCTACAGACTATCTGAGGATAAAGAGAATCACCCACACCTTCTATGGGCAGTCAGAGGTGGCTCTTACACCTGCAGTCTTCCTTCGCATCTCTTGGTCTGGTGTCGATGGCTTTGCATGGCCAGTCGACTTTGCACACCAGCATCCTAGTTGCTGAACATCCTAGTACTCTGTAATCACACACTGTGTTGCCTTATTCTGGTTTACACCTCATTGTAATTAGCTCAATATTAAGCAATAGTAGATGCTTCTCAAATATTCTTGCCTTTTTGATTGATTCATAGAGTGAATAAATAATTATTAAACTTCTTATATGTGTCAGGCTCCATGTGAGGCCCAGAGAAGCAACAATGAGAGAGATAAGCCTGTATCTTTATAGTTCTTGGTGTTGTGGACCCAGGATATGGGAAGGGGGTGGGGCGGGCATTGTTGTAAGGGCGGAACAAGGAACTTTCCCACTCCACCTTGGGTAAAAGACTTTAATCTCTGGAAGAAAGAAGATGTACCCTTGCATTTTACCTTCTGGGGGTACTCTTACCTTGCTTTCTTTTGTGCAAATGGAATAATAAAACTGCAGGTAGAATGAGAATGAGCAAAGAGACTATGACCAGTCCACTCAGCAACCCGGTGTAGTTGCGTTTGAAGCCTGTTATGACGTCTGAAAATAGAAGCTGCAGTGAGTCTTGACTTTCAGAAAGCATCAAAGATGCTTGGAAGAGACCCAGTCCTAGCCCAGGTCCGGTGAGTGTGCGGAGAGTTTCCTGCTACCCTGCGCCGGCGGGACCAGTCCCAGCCCAGGCGCAGCGTGGGCCGGA